GAGCCAGACATCCTGGAGAGTGAAGTCAAGTGGGCCTTAGAAAGCCTGGGTAACAACAAGGCCAGCGGAGGTGATGGCATTCCAGTGGAACTATTTAAAATCTTAAAGATGACGCTGTTAAGGTGCTACACTCAGTATGCCAGCAAGTTTGAAAAACTCAGCAGTGGCCAGAGGATTGGAAAAAATCAGTCTACATCCTAATCCCAAAGAAGGGCAGTGCGAAAGAATGCTCCATCTACTATACAATTGCACTCATTTCACATACTAGCAAGGTTATGCTCAAAATCCTACAAGGTAGGCTTCAGCAGTATGTGGACTGAGAACTCCCAGAAGTACAAGCTGAATTTCGAAGGGGCAGAGGAACTAGAGACGAAATTGCTAATATGCGCTGAATTATGGATAAAGCCAGAGAGTTCCAGAAAAACATCTACTTGAGCTTCATGGACTATGCAAAAGTCTTTGACTGTGTGGACCTCAACAAAATATGGCAAGTTCTTAAAGAAATGGGAGTGCCTCAGCACCTTATCTATCTCCTGAGAAATCTATATGTGGGACAGGAAGCAACAGTTTGAACTGTATGTGGAACAACTGATTGGTTCAAAATTGGGAAAGGAGTATGACAGGGCTGTATATTGTCTCCCTCCTTATTTAACATATGCAGAATACATCATGCAAAATGCAGGACTGGAGGGATCCCAAGCCAAAATTAAGATTGTTGAAGAAATATCAACAACCTCAGATATGCAGATGATACCACTCTGATGGCAGAAAGTGATGAGGAATTACAGAACCTCTTAATGAGGGTGAAAGAGGAAAGGGTCAAAAAGAGTATGAAGCTCAACATAAAAAAAAAAAAAACCAACTATGATCATGGCCACTGGCCCTATCACCTCCTGGCAAATAGAAGGGGAAGATATGGAGGCAGTGACACATTTTACATTTTTGGGCTCCATGATTACTGCAGATGGTGACAGTAGCCACAAAATTAAAAGACACATGCTTCTTGGGAGGAAAGCAATGACAAACATTGATAGAATCTTTAAAAGCAGAGACATCACCTTGCTGACAAAAGTCCCCATAGTCAAAGCTATGGTTTTTCTAGTAGCGATGTACGGAAGTGGGAGCTGGACCATAAAGAAAGCTGACTGCCAAAGAATTGATGCTTTTGAATTGTGGTGCTGGAGGAGACTCTTGAGAGTCCTCTGGACTGCAAGGAGATCAAACCTGTCCATTGTGAAGGAAATCAACCCCGAATGCTCACTGGAAGGACAGATCCTGAAGCTGAGGCTCCAATACTTTGGCCATCTTATGAGAAGAGAAGACTCTCTGGAAAAGACCCTGATGTTTGGAAAGTGTGAAGGCAAGAGGGGAAGGAGATGACAGAGGATGAGATAGTTGGGCAGTATTATCAAAGCTACCAACATGAATTTGACCCAACTCCGGGAGGCAGTGGAAGACAGGAGGGCCTGGTGTGCTCTGGTCCATGGGGTCAAGAAGAGTCGGACACAACTTAACGACTAAACAACAACATAATTCCTTTCTGAGTTAGAATTTCCAGCCAAGAGATCTATTAATCCTACTCCATCAGATTTGCCTTAGACCTGTTCAGGAGATCCAAAATCTTCACCAGATCTTTGGGCTCTTTTCCTCTATCCCGGTTTCTAAATCTACCAATTAGGTTTTTCTGCAGACCTCTCCTGGCCTGCTTGCTTGCTTGCTTTTTTAAAAAAATCTCTACTGGATTTTTCATATCACACAACACTGTCACCTATTTGTGTGATCTCTCCTGGTTCTTTAAAATCTTCACTAGGTTTGTCGGATCTCACCCATTGCCACCAAATATGTGACCAGCCTAACTAGGCTGATTACCTTTAACCTACCCTCCCATTTCCCTGGGCTTACCTTAAGCCCAAATCATAAGAGCCAAGCGGTTTTTAACTTGAAACATAATGGCTACAAGTCACATTCTTAAGCTTGAAGTTACATGTGTTGTGAGAATGAACTTTCCCTGTCTGAACTGGCTCTCTCTGTTACAAAGTAATTATATTGTACAGCTCCCTGGAAAACCCAAACTCCTGTCCTTAAATACAGTCTAACTCCTCCTCCTCCTCCTCCCTTGTCTTCACTCCTCCTTCTTAGTCCCCTGGCATCTCTTGATTGGCTCTCCTTTCTGATGTCTTCCAGCCAATCACTTTCTTCCTGTTGTCACTTGGTAGAATATTTGAGGGTTACATCACAACTAGGTACTAAGAGATTAAGGTTGCATACTCTGTTCAGGTTTTATCATCCAAAGCACTTTAAAAAGTGTCTGTTCACCTTTATGGATTTTATTTTGGAATTCATTGAATCTGTGGTTCATTCTTTCCCCCTTTCTGTGTGTTTGTGTTCTGAACTCCCTGTTACCCGGTACTCTTGTTTGTTTCTTTTAAATGGCATACTATAGGCACAAGCAACATCAAATGTTGTTGGGCAAGTGATTGCAAAGACCATAAGGCATAAAGAAAGCTATTTTAAACCCATCCTGGATTTCTTATAGGCGTTAATGAGAAGCCTCTAAGGCCAGCCATGATGTTTCTAGTACCTGTCAAAGTTATCAGAGGCTTTAGACTTGACTGGACCTGGAACTTCCGCAGCAACATTTACTTCATTTGAGATGAAAGGCTGGTCACTGTAAGGCCAAACCATGATGTATCACTACAGGCATGACTTTTTAGGCTGAGATGAGTGGTACTGAATCTGCCACTTGAAAACAGGACTGTGAAATTAACATGGGTGGGGGCTGAGCCGGAAAGAATCAGCAAACCAGCTTAGCAAAGGTAAAGGCTGCATGTTTACTTCATTTAAGTCCTGAAAGAATAGGAAACCATAAATTGCTCCACTACATACACAAACACACAAATCTTTCCTTGTTTCCAGATTAGGCTACACATTTATTCCTTCACCAGCTATAAAAATCTGTCCAAATGCAGCCTCTGCAAGTGCCATGAAAACTCCAGGGGAGGTGTTTCATATGGCCCTTACTGAATTTGAAGGCAGATTATAAGCTCAAGAGTTCTAATAATAGACCTTAAGAGTTTAGCCATTTAGGGCTGAACTTGTAACTAAACATGTAACTCTGGAAGTTACAAGAGGTAAAAAACAAGTCACCCTGATCATTCCGGTGAAATACCAATATTGGTATAATATAAACTATAATTTACAGCCAAAATGGCTGGTTTTCTCTGTCTAACATAGATGCAGAGCATCATAGCACTGGAGGTGATAATGCTAGTGGTATATAACAGTAGGCTGTGCAGAAGTTGTCAGCTGTTGAAGCCCAAGTCTTTGCCAGGGACTGAACAGAAAATAATTGTCCAACAGCCAACATTTTTTTCCTGCAATCATTTTTGTTTTTCTTTATCCTCCAGGCAGTCTCCCCCCCCTCTCCTCCCCACCTCCTCCACAATAGCAGCTTTTCTCCTTTTTTAATAGCATGAAAGCCAAAATGAGAAAGCAGCACAGAGATTTGAAGGATGGTATAGGCTTTTAAAAAGTCATGTATGCCTCTCTGATAATAGATTCACTTTGACATGCATATCTTTAAGACTGTTACAAGTCTTAAGTTCAGATCCAAATTTGGTTCACCTTTTTTTGTATGATGTGATTCAGGTTTTCTACAGAAACAACAGATGGAACTTTGCCTATCAAAGTGGTGTTCAGGCAGTAAAATTTATGCCAACATAGAAAAGGGGAGAGCTGGAAGGAGAGTGAAAGTTTTGCCTTGTTCCTGATATTCTAGTCTTCTGAATTCTTGGATATTATCCCATATTTTGTGTAGTTCAGGAACAATTCATATCCATCTGTTGATTTTGCATGAACTATTTAAATGGTGGATGGTAGATAATTTCCTTCACTTCATGTTTAACTAAGAACTTAACATGTTCCCACTTCTAAAATAATTATACCAAGGGAAGTGCAGTTATTTTTTTGGAGTTCATGCCTTCTAAAATTTTTCAGATTCAGTTCTGTGAACAAGTGTCCAAAATGTATATAATTTTAGAATAGTGACTGAAATACTGTGACACACTGTGTGCGCAACAGCGGTGATGTCAGGAGTAGCAGCAGGAAATCACAATTGATTAAAAGCTTTGTTTGGCAATTTTGAGCTATATGCAGCTTTATTGCATTGTATGTGACTCACATGCACCCTGAAATTGCCTTTAAACAGTTGCAGTTTGATTTTAATTGGCAGTGATTTATCACTGCTGATGACATTGTCACTATTGTGCATACGTGTCTGTGCAACAAAAGTTCAGGCAGTCTGTACAAAAATAAAAATGTTGGGAAAAGTGCATAGAAATGTGTAAATAAGTGCAGAAATGTTAAGGATATTACCCACCCTGAAGAGTTTCTAGTATAAAATCCAGCATAGGAGAAGCATGAGAAGGAAGGGTCAGTGGATATGAGGGTGAATGGCAGGGCAGATATAATGTGTTCAGCTGCATATACTTAGACTTAATTCTTTTAGAGAAGTGAGCAGAGTGTGGTCTTCCATATGTTGTTAGACTGCCATTGTCAGAATACACTGTGCTGTGTAGGACTGATGGGAACTGCACTCCGACAGCATCTGCAGAATGTGCTAGAACTGTGGTTCCCAGGCTGGGTCCCCAGATGCTCTTGAACTACAACTTCCAGAAATCCTGGCCAGCACAGCTTGCGGTGAAGTCTTCTGGGAATTTCAGTCCACAAACATCTTTGAACCTGAGGTTGCAAACCACTGTGCTAGAGACTACAAAATTTTTGCTAAAGAAACTGTGGAGCAGTGTGGTTTAATGAGGCTTTTAAGGGTTTATGTTTTTTGAAGATGTTCCATGCCTAAGGGGCAGTGCATGAATCAGAAACCACTGAAGTGCTGAAGGTTGTAGAAGCGGAGGAAAAAGGACCAATGGAGATGATTTTAGTATTGCACATTTATTTACAAGGTGCTCAAACTACTTGTCTGATTTATATTCTTCTTCTAGTGGATGGTGGCTGGGAAGCATGGAGTGAGTGGTCTGTTTGCAGCCCCGAGTGTGAGCACTTGAGGATACGCGAATGCTCTGCTCCACCACCGCGGAACGGCGGAAAATTCTGTGAAGGCCCAAACCAAGAGTCAGAGAACTGTACTGAAGGCCTTTGCATTCAAGGTGAGTCACTGAGACATGAAGCCCTTCCGTTTAATTTTCCAGACATGTACTTTACTTTCCACCCTTAAATGATGACTTATGTGTATGGTTCATTTTAAATAACAGTAAGAGTAGCATGCAGTATAATCCTTCCATGAGAAGCAGACAAATGTGTGTGTGTGTATGCACATGCTTCTGCACGCCCATGTGCATGCTTTTACAGCTTTGAAATCCATTTTGCTGAAGTCTTTTGCTCAGAGCACAAATCCTTTGAAGTCTTTCAGAAGAATTATATGGCTAGAAGGGAAGTTTTAGATTCTTCCTGTGGTGAATAATTTATCAGATATTACCTGGGATGTGCATCATCTGCTCAGAAACAGATGGTGTCAATGGAAGGTCACAGTGCCTGTCCAGTTCAGATAACCAATAAACTGTATAGTTTCCTCTTTAGATTTAGCAACAGAGATGATGCTTAAGACTTTGTTGTTTGGAAGTTCCTATACTGTTCTGTCCCTGCAGTGGCTGTATTGCCTTATGTGAAAGCTGTGAGACAGCATGCCATGGCAGATCCAAAAGGAAGTGAGGCCAAAGCTGGAACTGTCCTTGCTCTCCTTCCCTCCCTCCCTCATGCACACCCTTCTCTCTTTGTCCTGTTTTATCCCTCTTCCTTTCCCGTAACAATACGGCTTTATTAAAGCTCTCTGTGGCACCAAAGTATTAAATCTAGTCTTTATTCCTGAAGCCCATTGCCGCATAGAGAATGATTTGGGGGATGTGCCACCACAAGGGAAGGGTTAATCCATCATTCCCATCTGCTTCCCCAACTTCCTAATTCATTAAATAGTATTGTAACAGAATTAACCATGGAAGAAAAATACATTTGTCTATCTGCAAGGGCTTTTGTCTTCATAGAAAGCTCAATTCGCAAGGCTAGGCAGGGGGCACTGCCACACATTTTGGATGTGAATCATCCCCTCACTTGTTTTCCTGAATCATCTCAGTCTAATTCAAGGAGTTTGTGGCTGATGCATCCAGGTCATGGAACAGATGATGGGGCTCAAAGGGCCACATCCAATACATGTTCTTAATGAATGTTTTCTGTGAACTATGGTCTGAATCTGATCTTTCATATTGATGAGAACTACCATTTGAACCTATCAAAAGCTGTATGTCTTTGAAGAAGTGTTCCCATTCTTGTTTTCAAGTATTTGGATGCAGATATTGACCAGAATTATGTGTAAAAATACAATATATGGAAATGACATGGACTGGAAATAAATTCAACTATTTTGGTCTGGGAAACATGTCACATTATGTTTTTGGTTTAGATTCTGAGTGCCATTTGATTGATTGATTGATTGATTGATTGATTGATTGATTGATTGATTGGATTTCTACCCCGCCCATCTAAACCAAAGGTCTGCTCTGGGCGGCTTTTGGCAAAATGTGAACTAAACATTGAACAAATAAATAAATAAGTCTGTGAGTCAAGCAAATTGCTGCCAGAAGAGATAAGTTAAACCCCATACATCCCCAACTTCCCCAGATGAGAACAGCTCTGTGCAAAGTAATAGGCAATTTTGTACAAACCGCCATTCTTGCAGATGTGAGAATTCCATATAGAGCACCAGGAAACTCATTACCAGTGAAAAGAAGAGAGTTGCAGCCCCTATGCTTTTGCGTACCAGGAAAGAAGTGAGAATTTATATCTGTAGACAAGAGTTGCATGGCTTTTCAGAATTTTTTTTAAAAAAATTACAATATAATTCAAACTTTAATGCGAGTAAGGTAATCGCTTTTTTGTACAATTAAAGCATTCTTGTTTTCAGAATTGGTAAATTGAATATAAAAATTAAATATAAAAACTTCACGTTTCCAGTGGCTTCTCTTGGCTTTTCCTCATAACCAGAAAAATATCAGTTAGATACCATGCAAAAATTTGACATGATGTGACGTTCACTAAATACTCATAATATTCTTTATTCTCGTTGATTTAGGCTGTCTCTACACTATGAGACACCTCAGTGAAATATTTCAGAACTACACAAGACTTCTCATATCCTGAATCTTGTCATTGTCAAGATTTCTACACATTGTGTCTGTAACAGCCTGCTTAAATCAAGTATCCTTTTCATTTAAGAAGCAAACTACATACAGAGCAAGAGCAGAATGATTGACTAATGATGAAAAAGAGACAAACAACCCATCTAATGCCTCTGATTTCTAAAATCCATGCAGAAAGGCAGCAGCTAGCATACTTTTGAACAATTTGTGCAAGCTGTACAAGTAACATAGTTTGGTTATAAACTCTGTATTCAACAGCACCAGGTCCTTTTTGTGCACATTCTCAAGATAAGGCAAAAATACTGTAATTCCTTATCCTCACCTAGGAGCATAAGATAAACAAAGATTTGCCTCTCTTTACAAGATGCATGCATGGAATCAGAAATCAACTTACCTCCTTGCAGAAATGTCTGTGTCAGTGTATTTAGAAAAAGTTTTTTAAAAGGTGAATTCCAAAATACATTCAGAAACATTTTACTTAAATGAAATGTAAACTTCTTGGGGGATACAGATTTAATTTTTGCCAGAGAAAAGCTCTCAGTTAATATCTGCATGGTGCCCATTCTCATTTCACAGCCCATAGTAAATTTTGACCTGTGGTTTAAGAAGAATGTGGCAAAGTAGAGCATGTCCAGAAGACACTGGTAAAGATGACAAGTCTGACAACCAAGACTAAATATTGCTGGAACTGGATTCTTTTCTTTAGCCTAGGAAACAGACAAATTTGAATCAGTATGATCACAGTTCCAAGTATTTGATGGATGCAGCAAATTTATTTTTTGCTACTCCTGAGAGTGAGTCTGAACAAATGGGTTCAAACTAGAAGAAAGGGATTTTTGATTGATCATTAGGAAGAACTTCCTGACAGTACAAGCTGTTAAGAGAGTGAAACAGACTGGCTCATAAGGTAGTGGATTCTCTTTCATGGAGGTTTTTAAGCAGAAGCCGATGTAAGCTAGTGCAGCTATGGATTTCCGATATCAGGAGGGGGTTGGACTTGGTGACCTTGGCAACCCATTCTATTCTGCTATTCTCTTGTATACTCTAACTGAACATGCTAGTGCAGCATTCCACACAGAATATCGAGGTTCGCTTAACAAGTTCCTATGGTGAAGAGTTCATTTCATGCACAACAGGACGATCAGGCAGAAAACAGCATGATAGATTCCCAGGCTTGATGGATGTATATGTTCCCATAAAACATCTTACTACCCGTGTTTTAGCAATACAGCACTAAATAAAATTCTTGCTCCTAAGATTTGCTTTTTAAAAGAAAATAATTCACTTTTCAGTGCATGAAGCTATCTGATAGTTGGGTAACAGTGTATGCTGTGTAATTAAGGGCCAAATGGGTGTATATGGCTGTTTGCTTCTTTTGATTAAGGAAAGTTAAGGAAATCATATTGCATGTGTCAACATGCCTTGCTCCACTTGTTTTGTGAGAAAATATGTTAAAATTGGTAGTGAAATAAAAACAAGAGAGTTAAAGTGCCTTAAGGCCTAATGGGTTTATTTCTTTGTGGATTACAATACTTCTCCTTCTCACTATGGGTAAACTGCGCATGTGCGGAGCCTCATCAGAATATTTTAAAGACAACAACCCAAGGCAGGTGTGGCAGGGGCTGCAGCACCTATCCAACTATAGGGGCAACATGATGGAGACAGGCAAAGCTGATGCCTTGGTGGTGGAAGAGCTGAATACGTTCTTCGCCTGCTATGAAGTAAAGAGACCAGACCCTGTAGAACCAGCCCACTGGCCCTCCAGTCTCCAACCACTCATCCTGCACGAACATCAGGTGAAAGCTGCACTGAAGGCCATGAATCCTAATAAAGCCGCAGGTCCAGATGGAGTGCTGGGGAAAGTGCTAACAAGGGTCCTAACAAGGATTTTCAACATCTCCCTGCAAACAGCCAGTGTACCACCATGTTTGAAAGCAGCCATCATCATCCCGATCCCAAAGAAAATGACCATAAATGGCCTGAATGGCTACAGACCCATCGCACTGACGTCTGTAGTGATGAAGTGCTTTGAGAAACTGGTTCTCCATCATACCTTCCATCAAATTTTGACTAACACCAGTTAGCCTACAGAGGAAATAGGTTGACAGGTGATGCCATAGCCATGAACCCCACACATGGCACTGAGACGCCTGGAGACACCTGGGAACTATGTCTGGATGTTTTTCATAGACTACGGCTTGGCTTTCAATACCACTCTGCCAGACATTCTCATTTCCTCCCCTCACTTGTGACTGGATTAGAGACTTCCTGACAGACCACCCACAAACAGTAAGGGCTCGGTCCTTTACATCCTCTTCCCTGAAGCTCAGTATAGGCTCCCCTCAGGGCTTTGTGCTTTGTCCCTACCTGTACTCTCTGTACACACATGACTGCATACCTAACATGATAATAAAGTCTGCAGATGATACCACCATGCTGGACCTTATCACAGGAGGGAATGAAACAGCGTTCAGGAAAGAAATCCAGAAGCTAACTACATGGTGCTTAGAAAACAATCTGCACCTAAACACCAGCAAGACTAAGGAGATGGTGTTGGACTTCCGGAAACAGAGACAGGAACCAGCCCCACTCTATATCAAGGGGGGCAGTGTGGAGAGGGGTTCCTCTTTCAAATGCCTGGGAGTGCACCTCAGCCAGGATCTCACCTGGAAAAGTAACATATTCCAGTGGTCAGGAAGGCCCAACAGAGACTCCATTTCCTAAGAGTATTACGGAAAACGCAGGTGGCACAGCGGCTGATGACATCCTTCTACCGGTCAACAATAGAAAGCATCCTCACATACTGTGTCATGGTATCATACACTGGCTTAACAACTGCGGACAAGAAGGCACTACAGAGGTTGATGAGCTCAGGACAAAAAATCATGGGTTGCCCCATAACCCCACTGGAGGAAATTGCCAGGTCCTGCTGTCTCAACAGAGTGAGTAAAATCCTT